AACGTTGAAGCGTATTCTGCGAAACGGTTATGCAGGACTGTACGATACGGATATCGGTTTCTATTAGGAGCAAATGCCAAAACCGATATTCGTTTTGTAAGCTACGGATTTTTTTTAGAGAGTAGTGTTGGTCTCGGTTCGGTCCCGGAAAGAAAAGTTGTAGTTCCGGTCCCAGTCCCGTTAAAGAAAATTCTTCGTCCCGATCCTGCCATGTCTAACTCTACTGCTTCATCTCTCATCTTAATAAAAAATCACCATTGTTAATACATGTTTCCACATCCACACTATGGAGGATATTTAGCAAAAAGTTTCTGATTCTCTATGCGACGAGATTTTGCACATAACTTTTAACTGTTATTATCAGCTTAAAATAAGAATACAACCTCATGATTTTTTTCATTCAGATTATATTAATTCATCCAATAGACATTCACTAGCTAATAAATCCCTGACGGACGCAGAATTTTTCTACATAGGAGAGTGACTAAATGGTAGCACAAATCACTCACAAGCAACCGAGTCATTTGCACTGTTATAAACCTTGTCATAGACATAATTTAAAGAAAAGTTCGAAAAATATTTATTAATCGTTAGAAAAATATTTTTTAATGATATTAATTTGTGATTTAGAATTACCAGTATACGATAGTAATTTATTTAATTTTAAATCAAATTCTAGTTGTATAACCTCGTTTTCAACTGTTTTATCGATTAATGCACCTTGTATATTGTATATTTGTTCATTAATAAAATCATTACTATATTCAAAATATGTAATAACTCTTAACAAACAGTGCAAGCATATGCAAGCTTTTTAAATTGCCTATTTTTTTTAGAGAGTATAGTAGTCAAGTTCCTTAGCCATATCGAGTATGCTACAAGGTTCATCATTCGACTCACGATGTGTCTTCAGTTCCTTTCGTCTCTGATGTCTCACTTGATTCTGCGTAATCAACTTACCAGGATTAACTGCTGATGAATGAATAATTGCGCAGCAACTCTTATAGAAATTGTATGTCAGTTGGGACGTAGCCTATTCGCGATCTGAGTAATACACTGCAGCTATAGCAGCAGGTTTTGTAAAAGTGTAATAGGAAAACTTTTTCAAAAATCTAGAAGGATAGTACTATTTGTATACAAATTTAGCGCGTAAAATAAGCGTCCACTAAAAAACCTTGCGAAAGAGTGTACCGGAAAAGTATGATCCAGAACGAGTGCAAAAGAATTCATCTAGAAAACATGATAAGTATTATTCAAACTCATAGTACATAGATGAATTATTTCGGTGCACTAGATTATCATAACCATAGATTACAAGATACAAAAACGATAGATGGATTTCCATGAATAAAATAGTAACTTCCTTTTTTACATGTCGATGAGTCAAGAATGATGAACTCTTCTAATCGATAGTATAGTAGACGTATGTTCAAGCAAACGTGCTCGTCAGTTCCCGATTTTTGCTTTTTCTCTTAGTCTCCCGATGCCGTTCCGGAAGAAAAACTTTATTCCTCGAGGATGGTACAGTGGTGGCCAAAAATCAGTGTTCACCCCTACATGAAGACATTAATTTTGTTTTGAAATGAGAACAAAATCAATGTCATCATATAGGAGTGAACGCTCAGTTTTGACCGCCACTGTAGATAAATTTGTTTTTTATACCGCTTTTGTTCATTCCCAATTTCTAAAAATAAGGAAATATATGATGCAGAAAGTGTATACTGTCAGTTTAAGAGCGCGATATGGAACTGAATCCAACACAGTCAAAGCAACATTTCTTTCAGAATATAATGGTAGACTCATTAATATACGGCTATCACATCTACTTTATTTTCATTTATCGATACTGTATTTGTCCGTAAAGCACTGGCGCATTTGAAGTTGGACACTCTCTTTAGAACAAATGTGTTGCGACAAAAAATGTTCACATACGCTTAGAAGCAAAATAAGCAATATAAAAAATCGGACATCGATACATTGAAAATGACATTTGATCTGTTGAAAATCGTTACAGAGAAGGCATTTCTACATCATATAACAGCAATAACAGACAGAAAATATACTGAAAAACTGTTGAAAATCGTGTTATGATAGCTGAATAAAAAGAAGAGTTATGTTAGAATTCTATCGACCATGTCAGATATTCAACAGATGCATAGACGTTCGTCAAAGCCCTCGTGTAAGCAAAAGACATCTTTCTTCAACTATTTTCATCATATTCCACAAAGACCACCACATCTCCAATTTAGTTGGCATTCTGGATTCTTTGTACATTTTACATAATACCCACTCATACTTGTTGATCTGTTACTCGAATAACACCAAAATTTATCAAAGCATGTTGTCCAACAATAACCTTTGCGACAACCGCACCGATATGTAAGTTTATTACACCATGGAACTTCGTTTTGAATTGGAAGTTTATATGTACTATCCATTATTGTTGTCCTTACAATTGTAGATTGTGTCTGTCGAACAGATATCGTTGATGCAATGTTGTCAACAATATTTTCTAAAACAAGAGAATACATAACAGATAAAAGTTTCTCATAATGAAATTTTACAGTTACTTGTTGAATGGTCAAATGGTACAATTTCATTGTCATTGGAGATGGTAGTGTCTAAAGAAAAGTATCATAAAAGTCATGTGACAAAACTATTTCGCTTACAACATACACTTTTCGAGAACACTATCTATCGTGGTGGTATAAAAAATATCTGAAAAATGTAGAGTTACATCTTTAGCTGATCACAACAGCATATACGTACTTAATGGTTGACCAGCAAATAATCCTATTTTATATGCAAGAAAACCTTCTCCAGCTATCAAAAGCGTTAAACCAATA